TCTCTTAAAAGTTTTATTTAGGAACTTTTTTTAAGATGATTGTATATATTTGTGTTGTAAAAACCTTCAGAACAAATAAATTCTAGACTCAAACCATTCAAAACCATGGAATCAAGTAGATATATGGATTAAAAATTATAGCAATTAATTTGAACTTATCTAACTGTTGATTCCTTTTATCTGAAATTGATCGCTTAAAAATAGGAATAGAGAATAGGAGAGGAGGGTATGGGGTGGATGGACGTACGCACGTAGTACGTAGGAGGTGGTGGGGTAAGGGTGGGGTGAGATTTAAATTTAATCTAATAGTCTAAAATATCGGGTCCACCAATTTAAGTGAAAATGGACGGTTAGATTTTATAGAGCCACGTGGCGGCCTAGGAGTATTTGTAGAAGCACCACGTGGTGGCTTGAGAGCATTTGTAGTAAGTTTAATAGATGTTTAGTATATAATAGATAGATAATAGATAGATAGATAGATAGATAGATAGATAGATAGATGTCCTGTTGTCTTGTGCGAGTGGCCTGCTGGTTCTATGTGCTGGAATTCAGAAATTGCTAGTACAGTTGAAGGATTTTTTTTCTTTACAAGAAGCATATCTGCTACTTCCTACATCCTGCTCCTTCTGTTTGAATTCTTGTGTGTATTCTGGTGTGGCCACTAGCAGCAAAAATTTCTATCCTACCAACATATAGTTCCACTTGAGTTGTATCCCCCATCACCATCTAATTCCTTCTCTTGCAGTGTGAATATCGGTTCAATAAATTGAGTATAAAGGTTGGAGACTTTATACTTCCCGGCTGCTACTTGATAACTCTTTTAGAGGAGCATGACCTTTACGAAAGGAGTATTTGGTGGACTCAAAATTTTTTTATAATGCTAAGATATATCGCATCACATGTTGGGAATAGGTTTGTGTCCATGGGCAGGGTTCAATTTATCGGTTTAGCCCATTTGATCGGAGGTCACTGAAATCCCGAAATTTTGGAAATTTAATTTCAGAAATTTCGATCCAAAATTTTCAAAATTTTAAACAAAATTTAGTTGAATTTATACAAATATTACCAAAATTCATGAAAAAAATTGAAAAAATTTGGCCAAAGTACTATCATATTAGAGGGGACCGAAATTTCTAGCCCTGTCCATGAGCACATTATCTATCTATATATTATTATATACTAAAAGTCCATTAAACTTCTTACAAACGCTCCTACGCTGCCATGTGGCACTCCTACAAATGCTCATAGGCTGCCATGTGTCATTCTACAATCCCACCGTCGATTTTGACCCGTTATTTTAGACTATTATATTATATCCATTGATTTATACTTCCTATCTATACCAGAGAATCGGATTACCAGAAAATGTTAAGTACGCACCTGTCGGTACAGTTCGTTTGAAAAAAAAAACAAACGTACGTATACGATGAGAAAAGCTATCAAACAAAAGAAAAAACATTGAGATATACCGTTCACTTGAAAAAAAAACAAAGTAACATGCACAGGTATGCTGTAAACACGATAAAAAAGAACTATAAAACCCTAAAAGAAAATATAAATACGGTGCTATAACCATCGGAAACAAAATACATGGCCTTTTTAAATTAGGAGTTTCTATACTATAACAATAAAATTCAAATATAGTCACGACGCTTCTACAAGCCCCCCTATTACTATTTGATTGATATTCCCAGACAATTATTACTTAATCAATTATCATATACATTTTTTCTTTACCAAATAGGTTTAATAACAAATTACTACAGCATTAAAAATAACATTAATATAACATATGCATTAAACTACTCATGATATATTTTATAATTTATATTTTCCTATAGTTGAGGAATTCTAATATGTCGGTCATCTATCTATCTATTATCTATCTATCTTCTATTATATACTAAAAACCCATTAAACTTCCTACAAATACTCTAAAGACGCCATGTGGCACTCCTATAAACGCTCTTAAGCCGCCACATGGGACTATCTAATCTCACCATTGATTTTCATTTAAATTGGTGGACCCATTCTAATCTCACCGTTGATTTTCACTTAAATTTGTGGACCCGTTATTTTACACCATTATATTAGATTTATTATTAAAAAATAATAACTTCCCCCTCATGTAAACACGACTGCTTATGTACATACATATGACTGAATGAAAACAAAAGTTGAGTACGCACGTACGATTGAAAACAAAGATTACCTTCTGCTGCTCCAATGAAAGAAAATCGACGGTCGTCTATTTTATTTTTTACAGTATGAAAATAAAAATATTACTTCACAAATATAAATACGTAGTTAAATTAAAATCGATAATAAAAATATAAAATATCCAATCAATGTTATTAAACCATCTATTAATTTTTTTAAAAAATTATATATCCAATTTATGATTCGGCTGTATTTTTTAAATAAACTATAAAAGATATACTGTTGTCCTAAGTACATCACGACACATGGGGCCGACATATAATAGTTAGTTGTACGACAATTTTTGAAAAAAATCACATCATATTTTAGGGTGTGAAATATCACTTTACAAATATAAAATACTAATTTAAATCTACATAACAACACAATTTAGTTGTGTTTTTCAAGTACATCTGAGATTTAATTGTAATTTGTTTGAGATTAACATTCTCAAAGTTTTTTTTATATTTCTATAACTATTTGATTGGTATTTGATAAGTGGGCAGTATACACGGTATATAGATATGAAAAAAAGTTATCAACAATATTTCCAGCCAATGGTCTTGCTATAATCCATCATGAGATTTATGGTCATATATATTTTCTTTGCCAAATATTTTTTTAAACAAATGAGCAATGAAGTAACATGCATAATAAACTACTCATATTATATTTTCTTATACTTATGAAATTTCAATATGTAAGACATAATTGATGGATATATATCATAAACTCCACTAACGTGACTATAAGTGTACTCCAACAGATTAGTTATTATAAATATGTTTGGAAAAACATGTACATTCTTTAAGTATCATCGAATGATTAACCTTGCTCATTTTCAAAACAGAGTATTATATTTATATCATAAAAATTTAGGTAGTAATGATTAACATCATAAAAAAAGTGTGTCTACACTATACCACAAATCTACTAAAAACATTAGAAAAACTATCTTGATCAACTCCATCTTCCATTTGTCCTTTCCTAAAAGGCACCAAGCATCGATAACAGAGTTTGCTACGGTGCGGTAAGCATAGCATGCAACATATGGCTAAGTTAACCTAGCCCCAGTGTGATCCACCATCGCTAATAGTGCTCAACTTCGTAGTTATCGATGCAATACTTAATGAATCAATAATTAAAATTGTGCTCCAAGCTGGTCTTGAGGAGTACAGCTATATCCATGTGGGACCTATGTTTGAAGGCAACGGAGAAAGAAAGTCTTGGCAGCTATGATCGGCTCTACCCAGTCGAGTAGCATTCATGTTTAACTTAGGTATTACATTAATGGATAGAAGTAGTGGTATTTTCACAATATTTATATATGGATTTAGAAATAAGTGAGTTATGAAATTTAAGCAGAGGATATTTTAGTATATTAATGATATATTAGGCCTATTTAATGGTACATATGCAGTTTTATCTATTAATAGATGCTCACTTTTAAAACATAATAAGTCGTAGTGACGATAAAAGAAATTATATGTCACTCGATCAAAATGTTTTTATTTAAATATGAGAAACATTCTTATCATCTAATATCATTTAACTAGAAATGATGATATATAACTTTTTTAGCATTGTTTTTATAAAACAATCGCGGGCTTTCTTCCTAGTTTACATTTAATTTGCGCATCCAATCCGACCGAATAGACCACACAGACGTCAGCTCCCACACACATAGTAGCTCATGTGATGGGTTTGGAGGTTTCAGGAGCATGTAAACATTGCGAGGTTCTCATTGGTGTGCCAGATGACTTGTGATTTTTGGATTTTTGCAGTTCATACTACGAGAGGATGCAACCCAGAAGATCGAATTGATCAAGTTAAACCCAATTGGACCCATGATCTGAATGATACATAGCGAGGGTTTGTCTTTTTTGGGACGGAGGGAATAGCTAGCTATTAGGATTTGCATAGCCTGACATAAATCTTTTTTTTTGAACAAAGCCTGATCTAAAGTTAATTTTATTTCATAGCTATTTTAATTTAATTGCCTACTCAAGTTAGCCTGATCTAAAGTGAAACTTCCTACAATATTCTCCTGTGAAATTATCTGGCCACCAGATTCGAACTTGCAACGGATGGTGGAGGGAGATCGTTACCCCATCACCTATAAGCGAGCTCGCGTGGTGGAGAATAAATATTACTCCCTCCATATTTTAATATATAACGCCGTTGACTTTTTAACCAACGTTTGACCACTCATCTTATTCAAATATTTTATGCAAATATAAAAATACTTATGTCATGCTTAAAGAACATTTGATGATAAATCAAGTCATAATAAAATAAATTATAATTACATTTTTTTTAATACGACAAAAGGTCAAACGTTTGTCAAAAAGTCAACGGCGTCATACATTAAAATACGGAGGGAGTATTAATTTATACTTACTTGCTTCCTACTTTGTTATGTAGTCTTTGTCTCAATTGTTTTCTCATCCAACTGAATAGACTGCATGGTCTTGCGCTCTAACAGACATATATAGTTCCTCACCAGAGGGGTTTGGCAGGTTTGAGGAGCATGCAAACATCACAATATTGCAATATTGCTCTCTTCAACATCTCAGACAACACGCGTGTGGTTTGTTCAATTTCCTACTTTTGGAGGATGCGATTCATGGCCCGAGTGAATTGAATTGTCATTGGTACCCCGGTTATCATTGACGTCCAGGAGAATTCCAAAAATATCAAACGAAATATTTTATCATATGAGAGTGATCGACAAGATGGTCCATCAAGACTTCAGTCAAGGCAAATGATTTGTGCAATGTTGGTATGAAAATGGCAAAGAATTTGGATCCCATGAATATCGTGGCATAGCACTGTCGTCCCCCATTTTTATAACAGGAATCACTCATGTTACATTGCTGAAATACCAAGTACACATACAAAGATTGTCTAGCATAAATTATTACATCATAGGCCCGCAGGCATTGACTAGAACATAGGACCGAACGGTCCGGAATACATGCCAAAGCAGAAATAGATAAGGCAGCGGCCATGTCATTGCCACAGGCAACGACCGTAACTAAGACCTACAGAGCGCCGTCATCCTCTGCATCCTCCTAAAGATAAGCATAGGGATCCTCCTCGACTTCATTGCCATCCACTGATTAAAATTTTTAACAGCAAGAGTGAGTACCAACCGTATTCTGCAAGCCACCACAACAACAAAGCATATGATAGAGGTATTCAAAGTATAGCTGTTGGTTTATTTGCGTAAAGCTAGTTTCACAAATCTTTTCACAAGCCTAATAAGACCTAGCATAGACTAGTCAAGTTTTAATTCCAGTGTTTATTACACAGCAACAGTTCTGTTCACCATCCATTGTTTTCCCTAAGATGGTTTCCCATTACTGGCCGTCATGGTTTTCTGGGGTTTACCCCTTCTCGCCTCACGAAAAGTTAATCCACCAGCACAAAATCATCATGCATATCCCCTCCCAATCAGATTTAAGAAATTAGAGTCTAGCCAATTGCAATACATGTCCCGGTGCTCAATAACCGCGAGCACGGCTATTCGAATAGATTGGTTTACTCACACTGCAGTGGATGTACACTTTACCCGTACTCCGTGACTTGCCCAACACATGATCCTACGTCCCAACGAAACAGACTTGCCACGGCAAAGCCTTTCAACAACCTTACTTTGGCAGTACCCGCTCCATGAACTTTAGTCCTCATGCACTCTAGACGTCCAAGGTTTCTAGTAGTGAGAGGAGTTCTGGCGCTCCCGAGGAGGAAAGACTCACACATTCATTAAGTTATAGTTAAGTTTAGGTTCGCACATGGCAGTTCTACCGATGGCGACACCACCATAGGCACCCGCCCCTTGCGGTCCTTCCAATGGCTGCACCGTAGGCCCTTGCCTCCCATAGACATTAAGAAATCCACTACGACTTGGGTACCGCCTCCGCTCGGCTATTTACTCCGCTTGGTGTATACCCACACGACAAGTACGGTTGTACTGGGATCGTTTCATGCTTAACCTCACGGCTCGGTTCTTAATTGACCAGGGACGGCACTACCCTTTACCGGACTCCACCCAAGTCATCTAGCCGCCCCAGTCGAAACCATTTGTTTAGTTTAATTTTCTTGCACAAATCATCTCATCAACATCATGGCTATGTGGCGCTCATGTCTCCACATGCCGCATCTCAACTACCTTCCCAAAGATAGTTGCCCGAGCATAAAGCATTTTGATAAATATGAACATGCATGATGGCAAAGTAGCATGGCTAAGCATTTATCAAGTATTGAGTAAAGACACACGATATTATGGACTACAAGGATTGCATGGATCATCAATATCAAAGGCATGGCATATGACAAGTAGGTTATCCATATTCATCCATAGAATGAAAATTTTATTTAAATCAACATAATTTTCGCAATAGGTTCAATATGCTCAAAGATTAGTGATGACCTTCCTGGATCACAGTCTTGCTGTCCCTGCTCCTCAATCGACTCAACAATTCCCTCGGATATCTAAATTTGCGTGCGAAAGATCGGATTTGAGTTCAATTAGAATTCAAATAAAATCAATAAAATTCAAACAGTACAAAGTAAATTGAGAAAGTGGTCCCATCAGATAGATCTTGATTTTAGATGAATTTAGGTTCAAGTTTCATTCAAATCCGAGTTAAAATGAGTGAGTTATGAGGGTTCAAAGATTCAAATTTGAATTAATTCGGGAAATTGTGAAAAGTTACTGTTCCTAATTCATTTATTTTTATTCCTAACACAAATCCATAAGCCACAGAGGCTGACATGTGGGCCATTCTCCTATTTCTATTCTCAGTTTTATTTTACTAAACGAAATGCAATGTATCACTGACAGGTGGGTCCGACCCCTTGTAAACAAAGGTTAAGCCGGCTCTATAATCCCCGGTGGGACCCGCATGTCATTGAGACGTACACATAAAACCTCACTTAATTAGATTTCTAAGCATCCGGGCCCACATGTCATTGATTCATAATAATACCATTAGTTAAGGAACACTGTGCACTAATGAAGTGGGGTCCACATGTCATAATCTCTCTCTCTCGTTCTCTCTCCCTCCCCCATCGTCTTCTTCCTCTCACTCGCGATGGAGCAGAGGAGCGGCGCCCATGTGGCGCGACGGCCTGAGGTGGGACAGCTCGGCATGCGGTGGGGCGAGCGACGGCGCACCACCGGATGCCCGCCTGCGGCGGCAGCGAAGCGCGGCGCAACGGCGCGCGGCGGCACCGAGATCCCAAAAACAGCGGCGGCACAATGGGGACCGATTCAAGTGCAGGCGATCTCAATTTATCCATCTAGGGTTCACATAGAGCATGTAGAAGCAAAAACCTAGCCTACGCTATATTGGAACGAGGTCCCTCCACGGTGAGCTCGGCCATGGCGCGGTGGTGACCGGAGTCGGCACGGCTACAGCGGCGCACACCCCAAATCGAGGGGGCCGCTGGCTTCTAGGTGTCCAGGCACTACTACAGGCGGGAGGGCTTACCACGGAGTGGCGGAACGGCGAAGTTTGATGGCGCGTGGTGCGGTGTGGTCGAAAAAGGGGCAGCCGGCGGTCGGCGATGGTCGCAGATGTTCGACGCCCGGTTTTCCTTGTTCAGCAGCTCCCGACTCCCTCCAACAGCAGCAATGGCAACACGAGCACCTCCTCTCCACATCCCGCCACCCACACCGGGCGAGAGGCCCTGCGGCAGCGGTGCAACCCCTCGCTCACCAGGTGTTCGACACCCGACGGCGACGCGATCTCAATTTCCTTTGGTGGAGCAAGAGTTTTAGGGGAAAGGGAAGTAAATGGGAGGTTGATTTTGGATGAGGACGAGCTAGAGGAGAGCTTATAACAGCGAGAGGGAGGGTGATTTAATCGATGACGCAGCCTCGTTTCGATCTCTCCCAGGTTTCGGTTCAATGCACTGGCGCGGCATCATTACTATCCGATAGGGTCGCAGGAGAGGGGGTCGCTAGCTGTGAGATAAGGCACCGCATTACCCAGCAGTCGCAACCGGGGGCGACGGGATGGCGACGCGACGGTGATACGATGGCGACAAGAGCGACGGTGACGGCCAGTGGTAACGGCCGCGTTAGGGAGGTGCAGGGCTACGCCCTAGGGTGACGCGGGGGTGTCGTGGCGGCCGTTATCCCTCAATCTCGAAGGCGACTCGCGAGGGGATGGGATGACGTGGGCTCTCGTGGTAGCACAGCTTTGGTGCGGGTTTTCGGCGGCTCGGTCGGCGGCGGGCCCACGCGGCGTGGCGCGACGCAGTGCGGCGCACGGGTACGACCAGTGCGGCGGACGAGTCGGATGGCAGGCGCGCGGCACGACAGCAGTTGGAGAGGGCGGCGTCGGGTGTTCGGTCGGGTTAGGCACGGAATGAACAGTGCCGACCCGAGAAAAATCACAATTAGGGCTATCCTTGACATTTTGTGTGAATAATTTTTAGATGATTCAACCTCTATATTTCTTTTAGGTATTTACCTATATTTCAACACTTCCAGTTTTGTGATTTATTGCACCCTATGTTAATTATTAATATTCTAATTCCATCATATATTTCTATTTTCCCATATTTAAGGTTTTAGTATTTGTCTTTCCATATCAACATATTTGTCTTCACATATTATTTAATTTAAGCAATACATTTGGCAACAGAGAAACGAATAACTCCAGCATGATGCAAAAGTTTTTAGAAGTTCGAAATTTTAGTGATTTTTATTGTTAGGGATTTTTAGGATGTTACAAGCACTCTACTACAAACTTTGAAATATCCTCCGGAGTATCTAAAATACTGTCGTATGTTTTTTTTGGACAAAAACTTTCAAATGTAACTATAATATAACTGAAGTGTAATAACACTGTAACAACATTGTAACTACACTGTAGCTGCACTATAACTGAACTGTAACTATAATATAACTTATTAAAACTTGGATTCAACAATAGTTTGGTTAGATAAAGCTGGGATCTTATGCGTGACATGTGTGAAAATTTCTTTCTAGCATTTTTTTCTATTCATGCACAAATCTCGAGGCGATCCGATGGTCACAAATTTGAGGGGCAAAAAACTTGCTAAAGTTTTCTAGCAAATCTGATATATCCTTTCCTCGTTTTTGTTTTCCGAAACAGTACAGGAAACAATAATCTTTCTGGTTACTTTAAGTTTCTCTTTTTACATGAACATAATATATTATATCTATTCCATATTGGATGTCTGAGAGGCTGCTTCTTTCTCAGTAACAAATAAAGTACTTATATATACTGCTCAACATAAGGGACTAAAACACAGGACATTGTAGAGCAACTTAATATTTGTAGGATCGAATAGCAAGAAACAATGAATAGGTTGAGCATAAAAGACTGCGAGTTCCTAGACTAGCTCGCAAGTCACAACCCTCTAGCTAGTTTTCTTAAGAGAAACATGATCTTTCAGATGTTGAGTTATAGTTGTCGTGATAGCCTCTTTCAACAATAGTAGGGACCGGTGTGCACGCTAACATAAATGTAGGATTGAGAGGTAATGGGAATAACCATATACATGTTGGTTTTCACTTTGCAACAAATGCAGTATGTCTCATGTCAGCAAAAGAAAGATACTCTTGCGACAGTGATCAAGAACGGAATTGCCTTCTTTTGAAGCCAACAACTATTGACATGCAACTATTTGTGCATCTTTCACCACCTAGATGGATAGCCTCCATCATCGTTGGTCTCGATAGGGTAGATGAACTGATTCATGTTTGGGCAAAACAGGTGAAATTCAAGAGTTGTCAAGACATGCATCAGAGTGTCTTGTTGACCAGTCGGTCATTATAACAGCAGGCTCATGCTCTTCTTGTTGGATCAAATTTAGGTAGGAAAGCAGTAAACTTAAGATGACTTGATTCAAGACAGTGCAAGGTGTATGCTTTGCTTCATCTTTACAAATAGCAGAAAATAAATTAGTTGGGCATGTGAAGGCATGTTTGGAATTTCAGGAAGAAATTTGTCCTATTAAGTAGGAATTTGCACCCCTAAATAAAGTTGTCTGAATGAGTTTACCCATTTCACAAAATGAATGATTAATATGTACTTATATTGCATGTTCTAGTACTGTACTGCCGTGGTGTTTTACTCTTTTAGCAAGGGTTAATTAGATCCATGCCACTGCAACTTTACGAAATTAAAAAAATACCACTACTATTCGCCATATCGGCTACATCCTAATATGACACTGGAAATTCCTTAAATTGGAACCATGCCACTCCCGTCCCTTTTTCCGTCTCTTCTCACACCGTCTCGTTCCCCAGTTTAATCGCTTAATCGTCTCTCCTTCTCCCAGCGAATGCAAAAGGACGGCGTCGAGGACAGCGGTGGCAGCAGCTCCCGAGACTCCCGTCGCGGATCGAGGACAGTGGCGGCGGCGAGCCTCAGCGCCGGCCACCTTCTTCCGGTGGCCGAGCTCGCCCGGCGCATCGTTGAGCATGGCAAGGACAGCGGTGACGATGGCGGCGGCAGCTCCCAAGAACTCCTGCTACAGATTGTCCGCCGCGCGCTCCCGCACCTCAGTGACCTCCTCTGCTCCCTCCTCCACTCCCCCGTGGGCATCACCGTCTTCCTCCCTGACCTCCTCAACTTGCGGGCGCTCGCCGTCGTCTTCACTTGGTTCTCCAGCCTCGCCCTCAACTCCACCGCCATCTCCTCCACCCGCCTCCTCTCCCCCTCAGCCACCTCCGCCGACGGCTGTGGCGGCGGCGGCACCATTGATATCGCAGGCTCCACCCCAAGCCCTACACGGGAGCAGCGGATCTCAATTCCCACCGGCTCAGCGCCCGCGCCACCATCTGTCGCAGGGTCGTACCCCATCCGCCGCACCCAGTCCAGCCATCCCCGTCGAGCTCTCCGACCGTGACTCCCTCGTCGTCATGTCCAGCCTCCTCTGCCCACTCGCTGTCATCGATCCGGCTCACCCGGACCTCCTCAATCTCCATGGCAGGGGCGGCGAGGCGGACCCGGAGTTGGCGTCGTCCAACTCGGGAAGTCCGCCGTGGCGTCAAGCGCGGCTGTGGCCTGGACATCCTTGGGCGCCGCAGTGGCTGGGCGCGGCAGCTCGTGGGCGAGGTCCGAGACGTCGAGGGAGGGGGATGAGGACCGAACAGAGACGGCGTGAGAGAGAGGACAGAAAAAGGGACAGGAGTGGCATGGTTCTAATTTAAGAAATTTTCAGTGGCATGTAACCGATATGATGAATAGTAGTTGCAGTGGCATGGATCCAATTAACCCTTTTAGTAACGGCTTATACATTATTTGATAAATAACATGGGAAATAAATGAACCAAATGCAGTTAATAAGTATATTTTCATTTTCTTTATATACGCAGGAGCCGCTGTACTTAGTCGGTATGGATTGTATGGCATGATTATTTTTTTCTATCTACAACATAACAGAATTTTTACTCCTACCAAACTGCCTACATGCGTGAATTATTTATGCACCAATTATTCAGGGGTATGTCTGCACCTGTCAAGGAGGCCATAAAGCTATCGGACTATGAGCGAACGTTGAAGAAAGCATTTTCTGGAAAGTCAAAACCAGTCCCTCAGCTTGGAGAGCAACCAAATCAGGAGATCGAGCCGTTGGTGACCGGTGAAGATTTTGGAATAGAAGAATTTATTAATGACACCGGTCTAACTACGGATCAATTGCTAGGAGTCGCACCAATCGAAAAGGCGGAAGTGAAATACATGTACGAACTCGGTAAACCGCTTGTCAAGCCTGAGCTGCTGCAGTCCCTACCCACACAAATATACAAGTTCCATCAGTTGTATATGGAGATGAGCGCCACCGGTAGAGAGGTGATCGGAGCGAGGATCAGGGACACGGACTTCTTGCAAGGAGATGACATTCTATGGATCAATTTCAAGGGAATCTACGAACTATACCAGCTGGACGCCCTCGACGTCTCTATTATGAGTTGCTGGATTTTGTAAGTATATCGTTCAGTTAGATTTTTTACTACGTCTCCTTTAATTAATTAAGTCCTTGTATATAAGTAGACTATATATAATATATACTCCCTTTTATCGTTGTAGAATGGAGATTCAAAGGGCCCGACGGCGGGGGGTTTTCGATACTGGATTCATTGACCCTCGGAAAGTAAACGTCGCAATGCTCGACCAATATCCGCAAGCTACATAGGACAATCTCGTCCATCTCCTGAAGGCGCAGCATTACAAGATGTTCATACTGTTGCCGTACAACACAGAGTTAGTTTAATTTTACTGTCTTCCTATACCAAATTTCATTCCTGTACGAACTTGCTAAGTGTTTCATATGTAATGCATCACACGCACATTGCAGATTCCACTGGGTGCTTTTACTCTTCGATCTGTCGGCCTGCACCGTCAACGTATATGACTCAATGGATAAAAAAGAGTCTACGTTTGACAAGGTTTTCGAATTTATAGACAGGTACTGTCATAAGTTCCTCTGTTAATTAAGAAAATCTAATTTATGATTTTTTTTCATCGAAGTTTATTTTTCAGCTACTTTTAAATCACTAAAAACACATATATAAATGTTTTATTCACAAATCACTTTTCGTCTGTTAACATGCCGTTTGGCTTATTCAGATGGGGCCTTTCATTTCTCTGTGGCACATGCTATCTTTGCATGATCTTTGCACATGTATCTGGTTGCTGCCACGATGCTTTTGTGTGTCCAAGGTCCTCGTGTGAGTTCAAACTTGGAGCTTCTGCGGAGCTGTGTCAGCAATGGCGGCGAGGACATGCATACGGCATGCGCAAACATAAGTGATGTTGAGAGAGAAATAACATCCTCGCATTCTTCGACCATCATATGTCTGCAGCTTGTATGTAGTAATAAGCTCATAGTTATACATGTTTGTTATTAATTTATCTTAGTGTCAAATTTTACTACTACAGAACTAGTCATCCGTGACCACATGTTTGTGAGGGGTGAACACGATCC